GAAGTTGGGAAAAATAGACAGAATTGGTAATTGGAGTTTGAGTTGTATAATTCTGCAAATTTTCGTTCTTCAGATTATGCAAACTCGCTGTGTGAATCCATTCGCACAGCGAGTCACCTTGGCGAGATGCTCTCTTCTAGGGTATTCGCACAATGAATAGACGCGATGTGCGAATGGTTTGAGAGGGTTGCTCTCTGTTTGATGATCCGCATGGCAAATTGGGGCGCTATGCGAGGGGTTTAGGGTCTGATTCAATTAGGAGTTTATTCGCATAGCGAGTTTAATCGTTGTGCGAATGGTTATGAGGAGTGGGTCTCTGTTTGAGGATTCGCAAAGCGAGCTGGGTCGTTGTGCGAGAAACTTCTAGATTCGCTCTACGAATGTGTGCGCTGTGCGAATGATCCAGGTTCAGTTCACTCTTTTCTTTTAGTCTTAAGTTGTTTTAAATGAATTGTTGAGTGTAATATGAAGTATGTTTGAGTTGTCTTACATTACATCATTGATTATTGTTATGAGTTATGTTCCAAAGTGAAAGTTGGTGATTTCAAGGTATGTATTTCAAAGTATGGTTGATGGACATAATTCCATGAACCCCACATAGAGGTTACATGATAGTGCCCTATGTTGTGATCCAAAGTGAATTCTCTTGTTGAGATTCAAGTATGTTTAGAATGAATGCAGGAGCTCAGTCTTGGGGGTTATCCTGAAACTCCAATGGTCTTTAATTCTCAAGTAGAGAGGATTGATCCATGTCGTGAGGAGTAGCAGGAGGTCCTAGTTTTGGGTGCTTCCAATATGATCCAAGGTGAGTGATAATGGACTAACCTCGTGAGTGTGGTAGGGTGAAACCCATTGACAATGGCTTTGCAAAGCAGTATAAGCCACCACGAGTGCACGACCCGCCATAGCTCGACAATCATTCTAAGTCCGGATAGTCCATTCATAATAAGTGTTAGGCATAAAGGGTTTGATGATTGTGTAGTGATATGTTGGTTGTATACAACATGTTTTAAATGAGTTTATATATATATATATATATATATATATATATATATATATATATTCTTTTATAAATATAAA